ATCAGCAAGCCAGCCAGTTACCTAGCTGGTAGGTCAACCAGCCAACTAACAAGCAAGCCAGTTAGCCAGTCATGAATGGTAAGCAAAGGGAGCATTCAACTCTATAATTTTCTACTTTCAGCTCTGAATTAAAACTTTTGCCTTCCTCATATTTCTACATTCATTATTAATAAAATGTTTTTCATGATATAACATTTCGAACATGAAATTCACCGCAATATTTACAGTAATGAATTTAATGTTAGAATGTTAGAAAAAGGCCTTTGTAAGCATCGTATGCTTTCGGATCTGATCCTTTTTATCATTGTATATTAAGTAAGTAATGATTGTATGTAAAATGTGTTTGTGTGAAAATGTTTGGAATAAAATATGTTTAAACTAAACTAAAGGGGGCATTCAGACAGGCTGATTGGCATGCGGAAGAAATGACGAACTGACACAAACACATACATGAACGTTGGTATCAGGTATTCACTGACAGTACAAAGTGTATACATGTCTTAGTAACATAATGAGATTTTGTTCTAGTGACACATTAACACATATTTCCTAATTTATACAATGATAAGTGACTTGAAAAAAAGAAGATTGAAAATTAGAATAATAATATTTGTATATACAAATGTCTATGAAAAAATCCACCATAAAAGCAATTCGCTCACAGTTCAGAGTTAAAATCCTTTTTCTTGATTAACGATTGCGTCAATGAAATGTCATCTGCCTCCATGAATTGTCGTCTGTTATATGATATACCGTCTATTTAGAAGAATTGCCGTCTACATTAATTGTTTCTGTCTACATGAACTGCCTCCTCTTTACATGCATTGTCGTCTCTGTCTACATGAACTGCCGTCGCTTTACATGCATTGTCGTCTCTGTCTACATGAACTGCCGTCGCTTTACATGCATTGTCGTCTCTGTCTACATGAACTGCCGTCGCTTTACATGCATTGTCGTCTCTGTCTACATGAATTGCTGCCTGTCTACATAAACTGCCGTCATTTTACATGCATTGTCCTGTTTACATGAACTGTCGTCTGTTTACATGAATTGTCGTCTGTCTACACGCATTGTCGTCTGTCTACACGAACTGTCGCCTGTCTACACGAACTGTCGCCTGCTTTCATGAATTTTCGTCTGTCCACATGCATTGTCGTCTGTCTACACGAATTGTGGTCTATATACACGAACAGTCGCATGTCTACACGAATTTTCGTCTGTCTACACGAAGTGTCGTCTGTAAAACATGCATTATCGTCTGTATACACGAACTGTCGCCTGTCTACACGAATTGTCGTCTGTATACTAGAAGTGTCGTCTGTCAACATGCACTGTCGTCTGTGGCCTGTCTGCACGAATTGTCGCCTGTATACAAGAAGTGTCGTCTGTCCACATGTATTGTCGTCTGTATACACGAACTGTCGCCTGTCTACACGAATTGTCGTCTGTATACAAGAAGTGTCGTCTGTCAACATGCACTGTCGTCTGTGGCCTGTCTGCACGAAATGTCGCCTGTATACAAGAAGTGTCGTCTGTCAACATGTATTGTCGTCTGTATACACGAACTATGGCCTGTCTACATCTTCACGAAGCATTATCGCCTGTCCACATTCATTGTTATCTATCTTCACAAATTGTCGTCTGTATACATGATCTCATGGATTTACAAGAAACCGTTTTATACAGAAATGTTTCATTAGAATATTCAAACAATTTTAAAAAATGTATGGGGAAATGACATCACGTCACATTCTCTCCACGACAGAACACGTTTTTGTTGTTGTTGTGGTTGTTGTTGTTGTTGTCGTCGTCGTCATTGTCGTTGCTGCTGCTGTTGTTGTTGTTGTCATTAAAATATGAGGGCAGATTTATTCAATATCGTATGAGAGAATTCTCTAGGCGTATATAAGGGAAATGTCGAAATCACGACAAACAGCATATTCCATATCTACATGTAGAAACATTTTCACCCGAGCTGTCAAACAAATAGCGTTAATACAGGGAAATTGCAAAATCATGTAAATTAATCCGGAAGCACAGAATGGTGACGTCAAGTGACCTCAATGTTGGACAACTTGTCAGCTGACCCGGTGAATACGGGGAATAATGAATAATTTAGTTAAAAGATTAGTATTCTTAATTAATCATAATATACCGTGACTTAGAGGTGACTTACGGCCGTTTTTTTTTGTATTTTTGACATGAGTAAATACTTCAGTCATATAATTGTTGAAATGTTAATCATCTTTATGTCTACGAATTTAAATAAACCTATAATCTAGACAAATAATATATGATAAATGATATATAATAAAAAATGGTTACCCTAGTAACCCATAACCTGTTCAAGTTGTGTCATAACTTTGCCCAGCTTTGAATTTGAAACAAACTGCATGTATTTAAAGTTTCAGAGATTTCGAGATCAAAACACATAAACTGTGCTATACAGCCTGGTCAAACTGAAAAGATTTGCTGGCTTGCCAAGCACACGGTAGGGAATCACGTGACTTTTACGGTTACGCGTACAGACAATATGGCGGCCTAAAAACCTCACTTCACATGTGTTTTTCAGGTAATTCTTTATTATATCCCTTTTACTTACATACGAGACCTGTTGCAGCCTACGCGGAATAAAGAAATGTTGCCGCCTATACCTTATTTTCCACCCCTGTTCTCATAGCTTTTACAAACACTCAAAAATTCAACAGGAATTTTCAATGTTAACAATTATTTTTCAGGTAACTTTCACGCAAAATTTGTATTTTTTATGAATTTGATTAAACTACGTTGAGTTAGCAAAGAGGAAAGGTTCATAGAATTTCTTTATTTGAAAATGTAAATATTAGGCATGTTAAATGTTGACTAGTCATTTTCTATTCCAATACACGAAGGAAAAATGATTTGGGTAACAGCCACACATACTTTTATTGTTGATAACTCCCACGCAATATTTTATGTGCAACAGGCTATTGCTTAGATATTGATTTAACAAAATCATTATCGATGCATTTAGCCTTAAACGTTCATAGAATTTTGAAAAATATTTAAAATACCGCCAAAAGGTCCTGGATAGAATTAAGCGCCTATGGGTAGCAGAATACATACTCACGTAAATATATTAAAAGAATATAGATATAGATGAATTTATCGCAGAAATTAAAATAAAAGTCTCAAATATAAGAAGGAGGTCGATTTCAGTTTATGCACAATTACAGTTGTCATTTTTCATAGTTTGCAGATATGGACGGTTGCAGCTCGGATATTGTTTGTAGATGATGTTGGAAAACATTTCGTTCACGGACAAGTCTTAATGACCACATATGAACTGGCTACTCGACACAGGACCTTGTAAACGTTGTGGCAAATCCAACTGCCATAGGTATGGCATTTTAATGTTAATATTAAGATTTTAAAGACATTCAAATCATTTTATCACTTAGTCTGTTATGTAACTAATTATTTTTAAAATTAGTGTCTGTATTTAACATAATTATGTATTTTTAGCTCACCTATCACAAAGTGACAGGGTGAGCTTTTGTGATCGCTTTTCGTCCGGCGTCCGTCCGTCGTCCGTAAACTTTTACTTTAAATGACATCTCCTCATAAACCACTAAGCCAATTTCATCCAAACTTCACAGGAATGTTCCTTTGGTGGTCACCTTTGAAAATTGTTCAAAGAATTTAATTCCATGCAGAACTCTGGTTGCCATGGCAACCAAAATTAAAAAACTTTAAATATCTTCTTCCTAAAAAAACCCAAAGAGCTAGAGCTTAGATAGGCATGAAACATCTTCTAGTGGGTGTCTACCAAGTTTATTCAATTAAAAGCCCTGGGGTCAAAATTGGCCCCGCCCCAGGGGGTCATTGATTTTCCCTATATGCATATAGTAAAAACTTAAAAAATCTTCTTTTAAAGAACCCAAAGAGCTAGAGCTAAGAAATTTAGCATGAAACATCTTCTAATGGGTGTCTACCAAGTTTGTTCAAATAAAAGCCCTTGGGTCAAAATTGGCCCCGCCCCAGGGGGTCATTGATTTTCCCTATATGCATATAGTAAAAACTTAAAAATATTCTTTTAAAGAACCCAAGATATTTAGCATGAAACATGTTCTAATGGATGTATACCAAGTTTGTATAACAAAAACTTAAAATATCTTCTTTGAAAAAACTCAAATAGCTAGAGTTTAGATATTAAGCACGAAGCATCTTCTAGTGAGTGTCTACAAAGTTTGTTCAAATAAAAGCCCTGGGGTAAAAATTGGCCCCGCCCCAGGGGACATTGATTTTCCTTATATGTGTATAGCAAAAACTTAAAAATCTTCTTTGAAAAAACCCAAATAGCTAGAGTTTAGATATTAAGCATGAAACATCTTCTAGTAAGTGTCTACACAGTTTGTTGGGGTCAAAATTGGCCCCACCCCGGGGGTCATTGATTTTCCTTATATTTGTATAGCAAAAACTTAAAAATCTTCTTCGAAAAATCCGAATAGCTAGAGTTCAGATATTAAGCATGGAACATTTTCTAGTAAGTGTCTACAAAGATTGTTCCAATAAAAGCCCTTGGGTCCAAACTGGCCCTGCCCCAGGTGTGTCATTGTTTTAACTATATGTGTAAAGAAAAAACTTGACCAGCTAGACCTTAGATGTTTAGCATGAAACATCTTCTAATGGGTGTCTACCAAGTTTGTTCAAATAAAAGCCCTGGGGTTTAAACTGGCCCCACTACGGGGGCCTATATACAGGTGAGCGACTTCAGGGCCATCATAGCCCTCTTGTCTTAAAATCTAAAGCAAAACAAAAACCCATAAAGCATATGAGAATGGGTCTTTTATTTTACAAACTAGATAATAAAACCTAGAGGATTTATCATTGAATGTTATCTTAATATAAACAGTAAAACCCGTAACGTTTCCGATTTGCTGAGCTATAAAATGTTTTACCACAACATTTATAAGGTCCTGTGCCGATGGGGTCATTCCGTGAATGAAATGTTTCATTTATCACAATCAATATCCGAGCTGGAAACTTTCATATCTGCAAAATATGAAAAATGTCAACTGTAATTGTACTAAAACAGAAATACAAAACATCCTTCTAATATTTGAGACTTTTGTATTAAAACGCGACCTAATTGAATGATTTGGGTTTGGTGTCCTTGGCAATTTGTAATTTTACAGGTCATGCCTTTTTGAAAGTTATTTATCCGCCATCATTATCGTATTATTGTAACCTATAAGCAGTATAAGTGTTGTGAACGTCCCAAGACGATTCGTCAATCTAGCTGTATTTTTTATCTTAGTGATAGTAAAATTAAGTGTGAATTAGTTTGAAAAATACATTATATCCATTGCATTATCGACACAAATATTGATTAAACTGTTCTTGAGTGTTAAAATTTTAAGCTTAATTGCCGTGAATTTATAGGGAATAATAAATTTATTTTTATATTCTAGATCCTGGTCCTGGCTGAAATTGAGAGTATTGCAGCTGTAGCTTGTATACCATACATTTAACATGGAAAGGACAGTCAGGTTTGTTGAATTGAAATTCTAATATTTAATATACATATATTTCTTTACAAAGTATTAATATTGCAACTACTGGACATCAATCTTGTCTTAATAATACATGTATATTATTTTCAGAATACTTTTGTAACATTATTAATATAAAATTTACATATTTGTTGTTTTCAGGATGCTGCATACAATGGTCTTAGTGAATATTTCTTGGGAAAATGCTGCAAGTAACTGATGGGGAGCAGTTTTTCTTACCAATCATAGGTGAGACTTTTAAATAGCTTCTTTTAAAAAGTTTTTGTTGTTTTATGTACATAATTTGCTGTCAATATGAAACTTCAGCAGTATCTTAATTCATCTTCTATGCTGTTTTATTATGTAAATCTTAGAGATAATCATTTTAAGATAAAACATACCACTAACTTGATTAATTATATATATAATTTAAGATTGACCAAGTCACTTTTAATTAGTAACTTCTTATTTTATTTGCAGAAGCAGTAAGAGACAGCCAAAGAAGTATTCAAACACCACCATGAAACACTTAAGACATACCAGGAGAGATCTAGAAGAGTAGCTAGTAGAAGAGTGGAACAGTTTGTAGCTTAATTGTAGCTAAAAGGACTTCTTAAATACTTGAACTGTATATTTGAAATAAAATACCTGACGTATTTAATAGTGTCTTTTTTTGTTAAACAGTTAAATTCTGTTACTTTGCTTTATATTTAAATTAAAGTATGTTGAAGTGACATTGGAACTTTAACGTTGTGCCAACGTTGAATTTCAACGTTGTTTAAACTTTCAAATCCGAACATAAATTTTCAACGTTAAAAAACGTTTATGTGCCTGCTGGGTTAATTCTATCCAGGACCTAATCTATTGGCGATATTTTTAATATTATTCAAAATTCTTTGAAAGTCTGAGGCTAAATGCATCAATCATGATTTGTTAAATCAATATCTAGGCTTTAACCTGCATAGATATTGCTTGCAAATAAAATATTGCGTGGGAGTTATCAACAATAAAAGTGTGCGTGGCTGTTACCCAAATCATTTTTCTCTTGTGTGTTGGAATAAGAAATGACCAGTCAACATTTAACATGCCTAATATTTACATTTTCATATAAAGAACTTCTATGAACATTTTCTCTTTGCTAACTCAACGTAGTTTAATCAAATTAATAAAAAATACAAATTTTGCGTGAATGTTACCCGCAAAATAATTGTCAACATTGAAAATTCCTGTTGAATTTTTGAGTGTTTGTAAAAGCTATGAGCACAGGGGTGGAAAATAAGGTATAGGCGGCAACAATTCTTTATTCCGCGTAGGCTGCAACAGGTCTCGTATGTAAGTAAAAAGGATATAATAAAGAATTACCTGAAAAACACATGTGAAGCGAGGTTTTTAGGCCGCCATATTGTCTGTACGCGTAACCGTAAAAGTCACGTGATTCCCTACCGTGAAGCACTATGCTGATGGCACGAGATAATCACATCCGGTTCAGGCAGATTAAAGACATAGTGATACTAGTACAAACCGGTTGAGTTATCTTACATGACATATCAAATGTTTCCTTGAATCGTACATGTATGAAAAATCTTTTTACAAGAACCTACCAAGTGTCTATTCAACTAAAAGAATTAAATCAAGAAACGCCCTATCACATTCATTCAGGGGGTTCTGCATTTGTTTGACATTCTATATAAAATGATTAGGGAAAAAAACTTATTTTCTAAATCATCAGATTATACTCCACCCATTCCTTAGTGACAGAGCAATTGCAAAATTACAAAAATCGGGGATAATTACTTATTCATTCATCGGGGTACACTTTAGTACATATTAGATAAAAAATATTGATGTACCTTCTATAACCTTTCAAAATTAAACATCCCTTTTAATATATTAAACAGTCGCATAATAAATGTAAAGTCATTTTTGGAATAAAGAAACAACATACCCACAACTAAGTCAAATCATATCGTCACAGAATTAACATTACTACTGAACATTCTGAGATTCCCATAAGAACGGAAGTAATGATTCGCGCATGCGCTTTTTGTCCAAGGTAAGAACCAGTGGTTTCTGGTATCTCCTTGTCTCGACATAGTTACAAACACTCTCGAATCCGTTCCTAGAACGTACCAATAAAGCAATGAGTGTAAAGTTTCTTGCTCAAGGAAACAACGGTTTGCCCTTGACGGGGTTTAAACCCACGCGACCAGCAGTCCTTAGATTAATAATCCGACGACGCGTTAATCACTCGGCCACGCCGGGGACATGAAAGCAAGCTCAAAGCCAAATTGTTTGCTAATTTTGTTTGACACGTTAATCACTATTGACACAACTAGGTCATCTTCATGAATGACCTTAACGTAACATTTTTATATGTTTTAAGAATATGACCGCCTATGATTCTGTATAAATTTTGTATATTGCTTAATTATAACGATTTATTGCCTTAATGAAATATTCACACAAACAGCTGACTTCATAAAAATTACTGAATAAAACCAAGAATTCGAGTGAGTTCTTTGTAAAACGTTGATAGTAACTAACAAAAACGTCACAGTAATTAATGTTCTCTCCTCACCACGTTGACAGGCGACATTTTTCACACTAGAGTTGTACGGTACTTATTTCGGCGTTAAATTTGACTGATTTGACACACTTGTGGCTTCATTCCGCAATACATTTTTTTTGGACCACAGGATAATGAAATCCGGATTTTCTCAGTTAATACTAGAGTTGGTTGATCGATGGGTCGGTCAGGACGGTGAGTCGGTTGCTCGCTAGCTGGATCGCCGTCAGGTTCATGTCTTGGTTTGTTGGTTGGTTGCTTGTTTGCTTGGTAGTTTTATGGTTGGTTGGTAGGCCGATTGGTTGGTTGGTTGTTTTATGGTTGGTTGGTTGGTTGACTGATTGATTGATTGGTTGCTTGCTTGTTTTGTTACTTGGCGTTTTAACAAACAGCGACGTGTAATGCAGGCTTCATTTTCCAATGTAAAATGCCGTTTATGTAAATGATTTTAAAACGAAAAAGTAATATTTCTTATGTGAGGGAAAATTCACGATAGGTATGAAATTATAAAAATGTCACTCGTTAAAATCGAACGCCAATACGAACCCGAAATAATGATAATGTAAAATACATTTCATTAACTCAGTGTCATTATCATTTCAGAGCTCAACTAAATGAACCTGGCTTTATTGTAGTGAAATATGTCTCTTTGTATTTTGCAAGAGGGAAAGGCCATTGCTTACAAAATCAAAGTACCGACTGTTCTTGTATAGCAATTGTTGCATACGGGCAACTGCGTTCATGGCAGCTAGTACAGACCATTTTATACCAAGTTTTTGTCAACTTCTTTTCATGCCTTTATGGACGCTAGAAACGTGGTAACAAAGTCAAGTTCAAATTTATTTTCAGAATAAAATGTTTATTAATTTAATAAAACAAAAGTAAATATGGTTACATTTTTCACATTTAGATAATAAATAAGAAAAAGGCAACATTGCATATCTTTACTTTTTTTTAATTTCATAAGACGTCCAAAAAATTACTATTTTTTCATACATACTACAAACAGCGTTGTACCACGACGGAAATTGCCGAGGACCTGCGACTGTTCTGTCTGTATAAATGTAATTATCGTAACTTTTCGGCAACCATCGTCAGGTTTATACTTACCTCTTAACCCATAACTTCATGAGCATTTTGTGAAAAATGGCTGTTTTCATTGAAAAGTCTCCCGTTACAAGTTCAAATTGCTATAAAACTATAAAAACTGCTTCAATACTAATAAAACTTGGCACAAATGTTGACTGGACCATTGCCTTTGTAACACCATGCTCAGGTTTAAATTTCCTGTTACCATGGCAACGAGGGGACATCTCAAATTTGCCAAAATCACTATTTTGCGTTGATTTTTTCCTTTCAAAGTGTTGCAACTTCTCAATGGATTGTGATAGAGTCAAATGCTTTTCAGCGTTGGTTACACGTTACCTTATGATCGATCTGGGGTCATTTTTAGCCTCTCACAAGTCCAAAATTTTCCTGGCGATGAGGGGGACTGCCGCCCCTTAAAACCCCCCAAACAGAAGGGGCCACATCCCCCTTCTGGCAACCCCCCTGATATATCTTTTGGTATGGGGGCCGCGCCAAAAAAGTGGTCACCTTTTTATACTATTCGCATTTTACCGAAATTTGAAGGCTCTACTATTGTATTCAAGTAGAAAAAATACTGATAAAAATAACAAAAAACGTATTTTATTTGAATAATATAAAGCTGACGGGTGATCGTAAACTTGTTTATGTGTATATGTATCCTGAACAATAGCTGAACTGTTCATTCCTTTAATACTTTAAATAATTTAATAATAACTTTCACAATAAATTGATCATCTAGATAGGTCTGCTTGATTTTCCGATACAAAGAAAATGCATGATGATCTATTATCGAGCAGCGTCTCCTGCAGTGAGTGCATATTTTTCCCCAATAATTTTAATAAACTCCTTTCATCTTGAATGGGCGTAACCATGTCACTTTCAGTGACGTCCGGGATGCTTGATCGATTTTTATACTTTAGATGCCTATATTGTTTTATGAATGCAAATGCATGTACTTTTCATTTTTTATGTGTTTTGAACTGGCTGATTTTAATCAAGTCTGCTTGCCTTTTAGGACGTTCTTGTTGGATTCCGTTCTTATGAACCGACCTCGGACACAATAGTAAGAATGTACACAGAACGGACACGGTATTTAGGGCTAACCATACGCTAAGAAGCTAAACATGTATTTAATGCTTGGAGTTATTGACTTAATGTAGGTTGTGGAAACAATATATTTCAATGATAATTAATTTTGAAAAAAAAACACCATTAAATATAGCTTTATTTTCTTTAAATGCAGCGATATTTGGCAAGGAGAATTTAGGATTTCTGTTTATATTATTTAAAATGTAATTGAAGAGGTGTATATTCCTAGTATACAAGGTGATTACACGGAACCTCGAAATACTTACCATTAACCTAAAATGAAGTAACGGGGACCTTCACTTGTAGTCAAAGGTTAATTTAGGTATATTCAACCTAGATATGTTCTGCAATCTTAATGATGTAGTGACAATATCTTTATTAATGCAAATGTACATTTGTCAGCAAAATTTATCAAAAGATTTTGCCCCATGTTTTTTAGCAAAGTGCTACTAAAGCATATAAGCATTTAGTGGCGTAATACCAATGTATTTTAAATATCATGCACACCGGTGTTATAAAATTTTACGCGTCCATTTTCGTCTTACATTTTTTTACGGTCAAAGTATGCTTATTCTATGAATGCGAACCGCAGCGAGAAGCAGTAACCTTATTACAGTTATAGAACCATAATAATAAATTTTACAAAGAGCTTAAATGAAATATTTATCTATTGCAGTCACATACCTGTTTGACATAATAATAGCTACGCCTGCTATAAGACAAAGATTCAACGATCGTACTTGAAATCTATCTGAATGGTGAATAGGGCAAAATTGTCAGTATTTGACCCACTAAACATGAAATATGGCCGCAAAGCTGAATTTACGGCCGCGTTC